GGTGTTCAGCACGCATGGAGGGGCTGCTCAATTTTTACTCTGGGTGTCAAGTTTTCTTGACTATTTTGTAAGGCTGAACTCAGCCTCCAACACCACCACATTACGGTATAACCCAAGAGTCCGATTCTATTTCCCTTTTATCCAATCAGGGGTGGATTTAACTTCTTCAGCTCCAAGGCCTGATGCCTAAATGAGCCTTGTGTCTCCCCTGGTTGTCGCCTGGGAAGCAGTGCCTTTCTTGACACGTCTCTCCACTGTGGGTGAGAAGGCAGCGAAATGGAGACTCTCTGTCATCAGTGAAAGGATGATCATTGTTTGTTTAGCCCATTCCAAAATAATGGCTCTGTTGGGAACATCAACCCAGTATGCATCATGTCTTTTATAGTATATATTAATTTAGTGCAGACATTAGGCCTACATTATTCCCGCCTTTTAATTCTCCTGTATTAGCATTCAGGATCAGTTTTAACCCAGAACACATCTTTGTTCTTTCATGAAGCCAAATAAATAAAGCTGGAGAGCAAATGGGGTTTTTTTTTTTGTATAGACTCCTGTGTGAGAGTGATGAATATAAAGCGCAGCGAAGTCTTTATAATTTTAAAGCTTGAATTTCCGAACACAGTGTTTTCATTGCATGGTGCAATTCATTCATTTTGGAGAAAGAGAGAGATAAACAGAAACAAATTAACTCAATAGAGTCATGCCTAGAATCTTCGTGACAAAATTGCCTATTCTTGTGAGTGTAAATGTTTTCAAAATATTAGAGACAACTGGAGAGTCAGGAAAGACGGGGTAGGGCACTCAAGGATAAAAAACCAGATATCTCTGCAGAATGCTGCCTGTAAATAGTGAAATTACTTAAAGGTGAATAGCAGGTAAAGGATTTGTACCCTTTTCCCCACCTTCTTTGTGGTGGATAAAAGTCTGGTAGATTTTTTAAAAGTTGTTTTTTCCTGCTTGTTTATATTAGAAATTCAACTCTAAGCTGATTAGCCAGCTAGTGCAATTAAGACATCACAAGCACCAAGAGAGTGAAAACTGAGCGGGAACAGGAGTTTGTCAGATGGTTTAAACCTGGCAGCTATTGGCCATTTGTTTTTATTATTTATTTACCTTGAATGAGTGAAGGAAGAAGCCTTTTTTTGAGAGTCATCACCTCTGTCCTTTCCATTCAATTGTGAGAGCAAAGAATACACAGGCTTGAATACTGCAGCAAAACCAAAGGCGGCCAGAATCGATGAGGTCCTAATGATTCTCAGGTTAAAACAAAACAAACAAACAATTCTATGGGAAACAAAAAACCTTCCAAGCACAGGCCTAAGTTTAAAGTTCTGTCATAGGTCACCTATGAGGCCCAGGTTCCCTGGTAATTAAGTGTGACTACAGCAGTCACTCCTGAGAGACAAAAACTCAGTATTTGGTATGCCAAGGCATTAGACTTGATCCTGGGCCTTCCTACTCTCAGGATAAAGATGGTTTTGCAAACAGCATGGTAAATGGTGATTTTTTTTCCTTGTGACTCCCGCATGCCCTCCGAGCAGTGGAACACAACCATACCATCATGTAAGCCTCATTGGCACCACGCCGAGAGCCTGAGGGCTGAACATAATTTGCATAAAATATACAAAAGATTTTAATCAGCGATAAATCCACAGAGTCCCTATTATTATTATTTTTGTTTATAGAATACTTTAATTGTACACAGTGCTTTCAAAACACGCTGAAAGACAAAATACACATTACCGGGTTCTAAATTAACTGGAACCACTTGGGGGGAAAACCGAATGGGATGTTATTGTGCACAATTCAGTGAAAGCCTCTGCTCATTGCACAGCAGGGTTCAAAAAAGGAAACAAAATGCTAGCACATGGGATGAACAGAATGGACAGTGATAGTGAAAATATACTCATGCCATTATATAAACCAGTGGTACTCGATGAATTGGTCAGGCAATTCCCGCACCTTGAATAGAGCAATCAGTCCTGGGCATCCTATTGCAAAAAGGATAATGCAGAAAAAGAGATGAGAATTCAGAGATGGGAACCAACAAGGATTAAAGGCAGATAAAGACTACAAAGATTGAGACTCTTCTGTTTAGAGAAAGGGGGATATGACCGAGGTATATGAAATAGTGGATGATATAGTGAAAGCAGATCAGGCTTTGAAGTAGGGAGTCTCTGGTTATGGGAAGGCTCACTGATTCAAAGCATCGAGACACCATTGTGAGGTACACAGGTAGGAGCTCCATTCCTTATATATTGCACACCTACCTCACAGCTTGCCCCAGCATGCACTGAGGTCTGCTTAATTAAAACCTGGACTTGGATCCCCCAGGGTAAATCTCTTCTTCGGTTTGTCCCAGAGCGCTGGTGACGGGATATCTCAGGGGCATTACAAGGAACAGGTAAAGTGGTCCTCTGCCACAGGAAGGAGGTTGGATGGCATTTTTGGGGAGGTAGAGAAGAAGCAGTCGGGGGGATGATTTTGGTGGAGCAGCTAGGGTAGGCAGGACATGAGGGATAAGACAGTATTTGTGGAGCAATGAGGATGGGAATAGCAGCGGGAGGAAAATGGAAAGGGATAGCAGAAGAAGTGGAAGGGGCAGCAGGAGATTCTTTCTGGTAAGGGGAAGAGAGTGTCTCTCTCAGGGAGACGAGGCTGAGGGCAAGGTAGGAGAAAGACATCAAGAGGTAGTTGGAGTCCTGGGTGTTTTTCCTGGGGATGTGAGGAGAGAAGAGGTAGTAGAAAGCCAAGAACGTGATGAGCATCTAAGTCGGTGCTTGCACACTCATGTTACAATGGATGCCCGTGCTTCACAACCATGTTGGCACATCCATTCTGCACTATGCAGACCCAAGTCAGAACTTCAGCTTCTGTGGGTGCCGTTCCGTGGGAGTTGACCAGAAGTGAGCCACACCCGCTGAACCAGTTTTGTGTCCATACCCTCCCAGCAGCCAGGGCCTGCACGGATCCTGCTCTGGTGAAAGAACTTCCCTACCTCATGCTCTCAGTCCTACTTTGGGACACAGGTGGATCATTTGTGAAATGCTGGTGGACATTTCAGGAGCAGTTTTTGAACAACTGAAGGCATCTCGTGGTGGGGAATACTGGCATGCCAGCTCTGACCCAGGCTGTTCAGCACTTCTGGAGCAGGGCCCCAAGCACAGACAGAGGAGATCACATTGTCATGTGGCCCTGGGATGGCAGATGTTTCGCATGAGGAATCATACATTCCTGGAGCTTTGTGATCAGATTGTCCCTGCCCTCCAGTGCCACAACACCCACAGGAGGGAGGCCACATGGGTCCAGAAGCAGGTAGCTACACCCATCTGGAAGCTGGCTATCCCAGAATGCTGCAGGTCAGTAGCTAACCAGTTTGGAGTTGGCAAATCAGTTATGGCAGAGGTTTGTGAGATGATCAGGACTGTGATGTATGCAAAGATGGCAGGCATGACAAATGCCCCTGAAATCACTGTTGGCTTTCCAAACTGTGCTGGGGCCATTGATGGGACTTATATGCCAACAGCTTGCTCACTGCAAAGAGCATATGGTTGACCACAGGGACAGATTTATGGACACTATAGTTGGATGCACTGGCAGGGTGCATGATACCAGAGTATGCTGGAGATCGGGACTTTACTTTCAGGGACAAGCTAGGACATTATTCCCAGTGAATGACACTGTTCTAAAAGGAGTCACTGTTCCCCACAGTTTCCACGGTAAACATCTGATGAAGTGAGCTGTAGCTCACGAAAGCTCATGCTCAAATAAATTGGTTAGTCTCTAAGGTGCCACAAGTACTCCTTTTCTTTTTGCGAATACAGACTAACACGGCTGTTCCTCTGAAACCTGTTCCCCACTGCTTTCTAGGGGACCACGCCTAGCCCTTGTTGCCACGGCTTATGAAAGTGGAATCCGGCTGTGTTTCTCTGGCCACCCAGCAGCGTGCCTGATTCAGGACGTCATCTTACAGCATACGGGTTAACACTGGCTGTGTTTGTTGCTTGCAGATGAGCAGGCCACATGGTAATAAAGGGTTAATGCTGAGCAGCTGGTTTTAAACCAGGAGGTCTGGCAGGTGTTGGAAGGGAAGGGTTGGGAAGCACAGCCCCAGGGGCGTGTGGGATACCCTGGTGCCCCAGAGCTGGGCTGTGACCCACCCCCTACTAGGGTCTGCGGGCCTGACTCCAGAGGGGTTCCTGTGCCAGTCACACTAATTTCAGGGTGGGGGAGGCTTGGACTTAAAACCTGAATCAGAGCCCAGACTGAATGGGCCACGTAGACATACCTCACCTGGGCAGCAGGCAGGGAAGAGGCATGGGGTGCTAGGCGGGGAAGAGGAAAACAGCAGGGGGTGGGAACCTCTTTGGTGGGAAGAAGGGGGCAGTTGGCCTGCTGGGGGCTGGGCTAGGGATGGGAAGAGGCCCCGAGAAGAGGATGCGGGGGGGGGGGGTGAAGGGTCTCGCTGGGGTAGGGACCTTTAGGGGTTCGTTTCTGAGCCCAGCTGCCTCCCCTCCAGGTCCCCGGGGCTGGGGGCTGCCTGGGCAGAGGGGGCCAGGAGAAGGCAGGACTTGCAGCCTGCGGGGACTTGCGGGCTGGCGGGTGGCTCCTTGGCCGCGGCGGGGGGAGCAGGGCCGCCGGCTTCGCCCCGCTCCCGCGGCAGCCGCGGGCCCCAGCCCCGGGAGCGGAACGCGGGGCCAGGGGCGGAGCCGCGGCCGGGGCGGGGCGGGGATTGCAGGCCCGGGCTGGCCGCCCGAGGAGCCGGGGAGGCCGGCTGGCGCCGGGGGAGGGGTCCCGCCGCCCAGGCTCCGCATCTGCCGGGCGCGGGGGCGGCTCGCAGGCTCCCCGGGCGCAGCGGCGGGGGAGGAGGAGGCGGAGGCGGAGGCGGAGGGAGGGTCCCCGTCTCCGTCTCCGTCTCCCCGGGCGCCGCGCTGCTGAGGCTGCCGGGAAGGCAGGCGAGGAGCCGGGGAGCCGAGCGGCTGGCGGCCGGGGCTGCGCGCGGGGCGCCCCGGGGTGCGGGCAGCCTGCGCCGGGCGCCCCCGCGCCCGCCATGGAGGAGCGCTCCAGCAGGCTGCTGCTGGCCCTGGTGATGCTCTTCCTCTTCGCCGTGATCGTGCTGCAGTACGTGTGCCCGGGCTCCGAGTGCCCGCTGCTCCGGCTGCACGCCTTCCGCCCCTCGCGGGCAGACCCCTACCGGGCGGAGGACGAGACCCCGGCCCGCTTCGTGCCCCGCTTCAACTTCTCCGCCCGCGACCTGCTGCGGCGGGTGGATTTCAACATCAAGGGCGACGACCTGATCGTCTTCCTGCACATCCAGAAGACCGGCGGCACCACCTTCGGCCGGCACCTGGTGCGCAACATCCAGCTGGAGCAGCCCTGCGAGTGCAGAGCCGGCCAGAAGAAATGCACCTGCCACCGGCCGGGCAAGCGCGAGACCTGGCTCTTCTCCCGCTTCTCCACCGGCTGGAGCTGTGGATTGCACGCCGACTGGACCGAGCTCACCAACTGCGTCCCGGCCGTGGTGGACGGCAAGACGGAGGTCAAGCGCAGACCCTCCAGGTGAGAGCCCCGGCCCGCAGCCTTGCAACTTGCCTGCATTTGCGCTGCGCGGGGGCCGCTGCTAGGATGAAAAGCCGCCCCCCCCCCTTCCCTAGTCTCCCCCGAGGAATGGGTTCTCCTGGTTTTCAGCAGCGCCCCTTCCAGCACCTGCAGGGTGCCGAGTAATTCGCCCCCGGACCGTAAAGATCCAGGGACCGTGAGCATCCAGCTCTCCCGCAGCCGCGCTGATTGCCCCCCGGCTTCACTTATTTCCCTTCCTTTCTCCCTCCCCTCCCCCCAGCATCTGTTTGTAGATGGAGACTAGATCTCATCCCCTCTATCCAGCCACAGGGATCCCGGCTTTTTCTTTCTCGGCAGTACATCGCTGCTTAGCGCAAAGAGGAGAGCGCTACTTGTCTCTGCTGTTTAAATGCCATTACTCTTGCAGCCTGACCCAAATTTCAGATTGCCCAGAAAGAGTGCTTCTGAGCCATCCTGTTTTTTTAAGCATAATTTGCTTTGTCTGTGCAAGATTTTGGGCAGCCCCGGGAATAGCTTTCCGCTTGAGCCCACGCCATTGCAATGCTCCACACAGTTGCTGGTATTAAAGGTTTGTCATTGTTGCAGGGTGCTACAATCAGGAACGGGCAGTCCTGTCTTCTAGCCACAGCGCGATAACGCTCCCTGGATTGCTTTGATGTGTCCCTGCATCCAGAGATCTAGTGCCCAGTACGCAGATCAGCAGTGAATAGCAAGCACGAGGTCCCAACCAAACACAGCCGCCAACCCTGGAAGTGCAGGGAGAGCTGGGGTGGGATGAAGTCTGGTGGTTAAGGTAGAGCTCCCGCTAGCCCAGTTTCAAACTGACTGGATGGGGGGATTCTGCAGCAAGTTTAGCTTGCTGTAAATTGCTGACTACAGTAAAACTTGGTGGATCGCTTTGCTCCGAGTTTAATGTTTTAAATGATATCCCACAGGCAGATGTGGCTGGGGCGCTTATAAAGATCTGGTGGGAAGTCTAAGAGTTTACTGAGTGTGGTCATTAGGGTCTCGTTGTTGTTAATGTACAAATGGGACCGTATTCGCTCCCCCTCAAGTCCTGAGCCCCTCTACTCCCATTGGCTTCAAGTGGAACGCTAAGATCGGTCCGATGATGATCGTATTGCAGATCCACCTAGTCTGCTGAGCTGCCTTCTTATCAAGGTGCCTCTGCCCTTAACTAGGCCATAAATAATGCGATTTTCAGCATGTTTGTGAGCTGCAGCGTGTTTATGTGCCTTGAGTTCAGCATTAATAAACACTGTGCTATGCAAAGCAAGGTTACTTTAATCACTGAGTGCGTTACTTGCTATCGGTTGGATTGGCCTTCAGCTCCAACTTTGTTTATTTTGGATTTGGATTTACATTCAGAATTTTGGTTACCTCTAACATTTTCTTCATCCATGTACCTTGTCCTGAAGTTGCGAACGCGAGCTATTGCAGTTTTGATGTTTAAATGGGGTTGTCACCTTTTAAAGAGATCAGGTGAATTAGTCTCATTCTAAACAATGACAACCCGTTTCAGATACCGTGCATCCGATGAAGTGAGCTGTAGTTCACGAAAGCTTATGCTCAGATAAATTGGTTCGTCTCTAAGGTGCCACAAGTCCTCCTTTTCTTCTTGCGAATACAGACTAACACGGCTGCTACTCTGAAACCTGTGAAAGATCTGTTGATTACATCACAGGTAGTCAGTTGTGACCTATTAAAGAGCTTGTACATTTGTAGCTTGGAACATGTCACGGTATGGCTTGGAATATGGTACAGTGTGTACGAGCAGGATATGGATTGTTTTTCCTTTGATATCTTGGCTTCTAATTTCTCAGAGAATTAAAGTCACTATTAAACTAATGTCAGGTGCCCTTGCAATGTGGGGGGAGGGGAGGGTTCAGTTATATTTCACATTATATGAACATTCAAGTCTAAGCACAAATTCATTTGAAATAGAATGCAGTTTCTTTTTAGAATTTGTTTTATATAGGGTGACGCTACACTGCCATCTAGTAGAAAAATGATTAGCATCGTTATCTTCCTGTATCCAAGGGGAGGCTTTTTAAAAGACTTTTAGCCGTTAGGATTCTTATGCTTTGTTTTCCCTACTGCTTTTAAATTTCATTCAATCTCATTAAGAATTAATTCCTCTTCCTCTGGATCTTCCACTGTGTTAGCTGCAGAGTGGTAGGATCATGAACCTTCCAAGCCGTCTGTTAATGGAATTTGTTTTACCTGTTTTGTAAATGTGTTGTTTCTTGGGGGGGGAAACATCAATGGAAATACACAACAAGGGGTCACTCCAGTTTTGTTGAATCGCTTCTAAATGAGATGGGCCCAGTCTGTGGAATTCTAATTGAGACATGGGATTCCTTGCCCTTGACTCATCCCTGCCCCCAAAGACAAAGACTAGTCACATTTTACAGGGTTTTGGTCCTGCCCTTTATGGAGCCAGGGCTCAGCTGCAGAGTAATAATCTGGATCTGAGCCTGGATATTAATGCCCCATAAAGCATAGGATGGGTGTTTACATAGGGGGTTTTGGTTGGGTTCACCTCTGTTTTTCCTGCTGAATTACTGAACATCCTCCAATTCAAAACAGGAACACGAACTGGCTTGTGAATGTGTATACGACTAGATAGTTCAAAACAGAACAATGGATTCTCCATCCCGCGGAACCGTACAGTACGTCGGCATCACCTGTGACTTATGGCTTGTGATCAATCACCACTCCAGAGGCCATAGCTGAGTGGTGGGGGAGCGGGGCAAAATCCCCCCAAAACTCTGATACGACTACAGTTAGTAGAGGCCTGCTCTCTACAAAGCTTCTAAATGATGTTGCTATATAATTTAAAAAAATCATTACCCCAGCCTGCTTAAATAGCTACAGTTATTCTTTCAAATAATGTCTTTGATAAGCAGTTAACTGGGCTGTAACTTCTAAATGTTAAAAATATAGGAACATAAGAGATCTTTTAAATAAACAATAGTCCCTTCAAATCCTCCATTTTATTATCTTGTATTAATTTATTTGGTGCTATAGCAATGACCAGCTACTGAGTGATTAGCTGACCTCTGCTAAGATTCTGAGCATCAACATCAGACGTAAATATAAAAACTTGTTGGACAGAATAGCTCCATTCTGAATTTAAATAGGTCTATTTTGAGAGGAGCTAGAGAAGTATTAATAATAATTAGGTATGTGCTTTGCCCAATGTACTTCTGTAGTAGTGGTGAATAATCTCAGTGTAACCACATGAGCTGACCTGGAATCGGTAGTCCACATCAGTGCTCAGATACATGGTATGTACAAATGGCTAACAAGATTGATACACACTTACAAAAGGTCTGAGATTCTTACTTTAATAGTATTGCACGTGTGTACATTTGGCTGTATTCTCATATCCTAGAAATGCCTGGGAATGGGCACGACCGCTCATTGTTTCAACTAATATTCTAGTCTGCATCCAGTCAGTCAGAAGAGGGCTCTGGGCTGAGAAACTGCTAAAAGTATGACAGGTTTCAGAGTAGCAGCCGTGTTAGTCTGTATTCTTCTCTTCTACTGTCTTGATGTGTCACTCTTTGGCAGCCTTTCCTATGTTCAAAAGTTGAACGTTTTGTTAAGATCCAAAATCCAAATGGGTGCTCTGTGATTATCTTAAGACACAGCAGCAAATACTTAGCAACAAAGGTCTGATCCAGTTAGATGAGCTACAAGATGTCTATATTCAGAGTAACAGCCGTGTTAGTCTGTCTTCGCAAAAAAAAAAAGAGTACTTGTGGCACCTTAGAAACTAACCAATTTATTTGAGCATGAGCTTTCGTGAGCTACAGCTCACTTCATCGGATGCATACCGTGGAAACTGCAGAAGACATTATATACACACAGTTTGTATAAGATGTCTGTAGTTCCTGGAAGAATCCTAGTTAATTGGATCCCTGAGAAAGAAAACAGTAAGTTCCAGACAGGCCTATTAAAATGGCTGTAGTGTACCTGAGAACTTTCATTTGAATGAAAATGAAGAGAGCTTTAGAGCTTATGTGGATCATCTTGGAAATTATTTCCTTGATAATGGAATTAGTCCTGAAGGGAAAACAGAAGGCTGTATCTCTGCCTGGAGTCAGAAGAAGGGGAGGGAAACTGCAGAGCATTTAACAGACTGTGTCACCACAGAAACTCAGCATGAAGCGGTTTGAGCGCACAAGCCCTGCAGCTCTATGGCAGCAGTTCAGTGTCCTGCAAAGACCATCTTCGGTCAAAGCCCTGCAACTGTATTGTTGGCCGCCTCCCTTCTTGGGGGCTGCTCCCTCTGCTCGACCTCTGGGCCTGCGCCTGCTCGTTTTGGTTGTCCTGCCCTCGCTTGTGGTGGAGTCTCCCGGCGGCACCTCCAGCCCTGCTTCACTTCCCCACTGGAAACCCCTCTCTCCAGCTCCTGCTGGGCCCATCACCTGCTCTTCCGCTTCGATTCCACCTGATTGACCCTTGTCCCTCCCAACAGAGGCTGCGTCTGAAATCCTCCCAAAACATTGCTTCTAGGAGGTGCTTTTCCCTCTGCCCGTTTCCTGCCTGCTGCTCTGTCCCTGGCTCCTGGTGACTGTACCGATCCTTATCCTGGCTTGTATGTTGCTACGGCCGCTCACCTCCCGGCCGGTCTCTTGTGCTCACTGAACCCCCTTGCTGGCAACAGTAGTTGCCCTGGCCAAACCTTTGTGTCTTACCACAGAAATGCTGCAGTGGGGAGGCAGGCAGCAGAAGGCTTTTTTAATACGTTGGGGCTTCCCCCACCTCCCCGTATAAACACAACGGTGCGGGCTGACTGGAGCTGGCAGGGGACGTTCCCAGCACCCGGGTTACAAGCTGCCCTGGTGAGGTCAGGTGGACAGGGGCATGCCTTGCCCCCCACCTCTGATGACTTGAAGGCACAGAGCAGGGATATGTTGGCCTGGCCTGTTTTTTGGGAGAAGCAGGCTTGGTTGGGGCACTGGCAGCCC